CGTTAATCCATGATTTAATTCAATTTCAAAATCAAAACAAAGCAATATTTTGATTCCAATTTTAAATTCGACCATCTGTTTTCATAACAAAAATAATTAATTCATGTGTCAAAAATATTTCGTGGGGTTGTGTTCCGAAATCATATTGACCCGTTTTCAAGTGTATGTACAGAACTACTCCGTTCGTACTTACTCTGTTCGGTTATTGAGCGCTATTGATCTCGGAGCAAGTTCTAGTGAACCCCGGGTCGATCATTGGTTCGATGGTCTTTAAGATATTTTATGCATTATCCTTGCTTTCGGTTTTTTTTTACTTTTTGATTGTCAATAATTTCTGTCAACCGGCGGTCGATTAGTAATGTTTTTAGTATCGTCGATTCTTCTTTAAGCCCTCTAATTTTGCAAACGGATCACTTACTCTATTTAGGATTCTTCAAGTTATTATTGTTTTATGGGATAATTATTTGTTGTTGATATCATTATTCATCAGCCGTTGTCATTTTTCTCGGATTGTATTGTTGTGTGCAATTTTTGGTAAGTAAAAATTCTATCGATTAATCAAAAATTATGTCGTTATTCTGAATCATCTCTGAGTCTCAATTCCTCCCTTTAGGTTAGCCTATTAATCGAATGTGTAGCACATTTCTTTTCACATCTGGACGTTGGAGAATTAGGGTCTTTTTGAAGATTGTCTTCGCCCTTGTGGGATTTCGACCCTAAATTCTCATTTGAAATTATAACATATTTAGTTGCCTTTTTGCCTTACGTTTTCGTAGTGTTATAATTTTCACCGATTAATTCGGATTTTTACAACTCCATGTGGTAAGTTGCTTACACGTTTTTTCCCATAGTAGATTCTGACTTTTTCAATTTAATTTAGTTAAAAGCTGCCCTAAAGAGTGGAGTATTCTCACTCACTCTAGGATATCCAATCCTCGATCCAGATTTCCAGAGATTTTCGAGGCAAACAACAAGTAAAAAAACAACACCATTTCCAACAAGTAAAAAAACATAACTACAATTTTTGCAAACTCGAGGCACATTTTTCTTAATTAATATCAAAGCTTTATTATGATTTCATCTAATTTAATTAAATAATAGTTAATGTTCAATTTTTCTATTAAAATAATTTTCAAGAGCTATAGTCCTTTTATCAAGTAAATTTGCTATTGGAAACTAATTGAGTTACATTATAGTTTCATTTTTTTTAATTCAATTTATTCATGAAGTGCTTCGCTATTGGTTCAATTACAAATACAGAGTGTATAACAATTTTTCTCTTAGGGTTTTACGAGGGGTTTTATTTTACCATCAAGTTTTCCCTCACGGTTACTACAATAGACGTTCAATTGTAACCGAAACTGAACTAAAAGGCTAACCGACACCAGCCTAAGTAATTGGACGGTTACTCAGGTCTTCAATCAAGTTAACCACAACCAGTAGCCAGGACTAATCTGGTTAATTGTATGAACTACTATCACCTGGAACATTTTGGTATCGTACTAGTTTTAGTTAACCTATTTATTATTATTGTTTATTTACATTCTGTTCCTCTTTGTACACCACTGTGATCACTTTCGGTATTTCAGGGAATAATTCATTGCTTGCCCCAGTGAAAGCAGGCAAATGAATTATTAAATAGGTAACTTAGCTAGACATAACCTGTTGAATTTATGTCAACCTACTGGTAGTTCTGGTTACATAAGTGTAAGATAACCGCTCCAACTTATTATTTATTCATTTTTTTTTTTATTTCTCTTCAATTTATATTTACAACTTTTCTATTTATACCTTTTTTTTATTATTCATTTGGTTATTGAATTTCAATAACATTTTTGCATTTAAATTTAATTGTTCATGGCTATAGCAATTATTTCAAAAGTATAGCATTTCTGTATTTGTTGGTTGACACTTCATTACAAGGTCATTTTATTAATTGAATTGATGACAATTCATTTTATTGAATGGCAAATTAGTAAACAGTTTTCACACTTTGGTAATATTGCTAATTTACTTGATTATTCTTTTTTTTTTTTCTTAATTCAAATTATTGTTCATTGTGGACTGCGGCCATTTGGTGAATAAACAACTGTAGCACTTGATTTCTTGACTTTTATTTGGTTTTATGCACACAGCCTTGTTTCTGCTAATATTTTTCTTTTTATTAATTATTATTTGAATTGTAAGGACCTGAAGCCAGATACCATCCTGGAGAGTCCGACTTATCTGTTCAGAGTCGGTGGCGCCCAAAACTAAAACCCACCCCTACTCTCCGAATTATTTAGTTCTGAGCTAGGGCATAATTTGCACGCACTTTGACCTTCAGTCCTACAATCTCAAGTTCTCCATTCATTTATTTTTATTTTTATTATTTTTTTTTTAATTTTATTTTATTCTTTTTATTTTCAACTTTTATTTTTTTTAATTATTATTATTTTTTTTTTTTTAATAAACTTTTTAATCAGCGAAAAAGCGTGGCAGAATGTGGCTAGTTAGCTGATGAGAATATAAGTGGTTTTAATGCCTGCCCCCTGTTCGAAATGTCCACAGAATATTTCGCCGGAAAACTCGATTTCGAACTGTGATTACCGTCTGGCAATTTTTCAGCGTCATTTTCACAACAAAACCTTTTATTCTCTCGATTGCCAGACAAAAAGTAAACGCGGAAGGTTATTTTCTTTTCTCTTGGAAGTTGACACCCGTCCCCACTTTTTCAGCTATTGAAAAGCATCTAGTATTTTTCATGGGTGAATTATTTATCAATGTCAAGCTTTTATTTAAAAGCCAAAATATTTTAGATCATTAAAAAAAAATCTTTATGTAAGGTACCTGACCCAAATAAGGCCATGTACCTAATAAGGCCAGTGCCCCTTATTGCTTAATATTGAATCATATTTTCAAAAATTACAATATTATTAAAAAAGATAACTATAATGCAAATCAAAAATTATTGCCAGGATTCCTAGCAACTCGTTATATGTCGAAAAATGGCCAACCATATATTTCATATGTCACGTTATAACTTTGAGGCTGGAACTTAATTACTTTAAACACATGTTTATAAAGTGAATGGAGCGAATATAATTTTTACACAGACATTTATGTATTGAGAAAGCTACACAGTAAGCACAGAATAATATCTTTGCTAGATTTCTAGTTACAGACTTTTTTTTATCAATGTAACATGTTCCTAATAAGGCCCTATATGAAAAATGTTCAATTGGCCTCACATCATACTGTTTTTTTAAAAAAATGTGTCATATTATTACTCAAGTGATGTGTTTTAGAACGCCTATAATCTAACCAAGCAATAGAAGCTGCAGTTCATTTGTCGTATCTGTATGTAGACCTATTTGAATCAGCATCCCAGGACTTGAAATTATTGTTTTTTCAGAATGCAGCAAGCGTTTAGGTTCTATTTTGTGTTATACTATTTCTCAAAAAATATTTTTTTAAATAATTGTACATATTAATTTTTAACATTTTTTAATGGTGGCCTTATTAGGAGCATAATGATCCAAATAAGGCCAATGGTAAGCGTCTTTGTTGTATGCAAAAACCACCACTTTTTTTAAAAATTAAATAAACTGGTGTTAATATTCAAGTAATAGAAACGAAATACTTCACATGTAAGCTCGTGATTATTGTTGGGCTTGGTGGATAACGTTAGGAAAAAATTAAACTTCTTAATATGGCCATATTTGGAGCAAGTACCTTAAATCAATTTTTTTCTTCTGCAAATTTTCGAACGGGAGGCAGGCATTAAAATCACCCATATTCTCATCAGTTTAGTAGCCACATTCAGCCCTCAAAATGCCAGACAAAAAAAAATTACTCCACTAAACAGCCCCTATCTCACAGTTTATAGGCAACTTATCTGTCTACTGATTTCTACTGATTTCTACTGATATTTAGACTGGTAGTCTACTGAAAAAACGAAATATGACCTGGCAACACTGAGCATGAGATTACCAGTAGGTTTTCTAGCTCGATGCTAGTATAGTTATTTTCCTAACAAGTGCGCAAAGTGTTACTTTTCCGCACGCAAACACAGTTATACGAACGACGCGAAGCGGAGTTCGGATACGTGTTTGCGTGCGGAAAAGACACTTTGCGCACGTGTTAGGAACAAAATTTTTCCTACGAGCTTCATATCAGGTAGGTAATAACAAAAATTTAAAAAAAAACACGATAATTTGTTTAATTATTTTTAATTAACTTGAAGGGAACCTATGCATTTATCAAAAAATTACATAACAAAAAAAAATTACAGAAAATCCTCGTCAGAGCTGTTCATCTTAACCCTTTCGCTCACTGTGTACACATTTGTGTACATCAATTTCTAAGGACCCCTATATAGATTCAGAAAGGATTTCAGCTATTTGTTCATGTTGTCCACATTTGTGTACGTCATATTATTAAAATAAATTACTAGTGCTTCCATCTAGGGGTTTTTCATGGAAATTTTTTTCTGGTATTTCAACAGCTGACATACATAAATTGAGCACCGCCTACAACATATTTTCCTGGATTTTTCTGGCAGTTTTTTTGTGGTAGAAAAAGTTTGAAAAAAATAAAAATAAAGTAATAAAAGGTGGTTTTATGAGTACAAACAGCGACATTCACGGTTTTTTGTCTGGAAGTATTTTGTTTTTGTCCTTAGGGCCACGTACACATTTATGTATACTGAGAGTGAGTGGAATAAAATAACAAGGTAAACTTGATCTCACTTTTTTCCCAATTATATTGGCAGACAGTTAAATATTATAGAATCCTGGTTCATAATGAGTCGAAATCGTCCGCTAACAGATAATCTGCTATAGAATTAATAGAGACCGGATTATCAGACGTTGAAGGACTCAGCAACGGTGAATTTAATGAAGATGATGGCTTTCAGAGAAATTCTGATGCTGAAGGTATACTACTTGTCGCTAATATTTATTAGATATTGTGTGTAACATAACACATATTTCTACCTCGCAGAATTACCGGAAGTGCTAATGATTGATGAGGAGGAAGAAGTGGAAGAAGTTGAAGAAGCTGAACAGCTGGAACAACTTGGAGCTGAACCTGAACCTGAAGAGGTTGAACAGCTGGAACAACCCGGAGGGTGTAACGGAAGATCTAGATTTTTGTGTCCAAAATGTAATGTTCACCTCTCTCACAAAAAAGAGCAACTGTTTTTCAATATATCATACAAAATAATTGTTTTGTTTAGTCTATCTTTTATACCATTGACTTCCAATGTCCACAAATGTGTACATTCAAAAACAAAAAATTGGCCCACCATACGGAAAAAAAAATTATTCCATAAATTCATAAAAAAATCATAGTGTTGATATACAAAAAACCAATTTTTTGTTTTGAAAAATAAAAATTCATGAGCGAAAGGGTTAAAGCGTTTAAATTTGATGAGAAAGTTTGTAGATTTTTGCATATGAATAGAGAACAAATCTGATGTGTCAAAGTTAATTTATAATTGGTGTTTGTATAGATGTTGGCTGATATAGAAATAGAGGAAAAATTTGTCATCATGTGTCAAAGTCGACACGTGCACTTATTGTTGCTTGACAATTATAATTACTATTCGGCACTCAGTGCGGATAAGGCCTGTATCCGCACTGAGTGCGGAAAAGTGTAACTTTGAGCCCGGAAATGCGTGCGGAAAAGTACGACTTTGCGCACGCTCGTAGGAAAAAGCCTTTTTTGCTCGTATGTTTGGCGACGTTCATGGGCGTTTGTATCCCTATAAAGCAGTCCCCTTCCTTGTCACAAAAGTATTTTCCCAATCTCCTGTGTATTGGTTCTTGTCCTAGCACAATCTTGATTTTCTCCTCCCTCACCATTTGTGTCAGCATATCGTGGGCTGCACCACACCTATTCATGTTCAGTTGCATGAACTTCAGTACCCCTGTCTTGTTTTTGTTGTTAGTAGTCATTTTGGCGATCCAGTCTTCTTTTTGTGGAGATTGCCCTGCGGAATAGCTTGCACTTTCCTGAGCCTGCCTTATGTCCTTCTTGGTTGCACAACGGGCATTTTTCCTCGTTTGGGCATGTCTTCGCCTTGTGTCCGGCATTTCCGCATTTGTAGCAGCTGTCTCTTCAGTCAGTGCCTGTGCAGTCCCTTGCACTGTGACCGTACTCCCAGCATTGGCTGCACCTATCCACTTGGATTTTTTTTCTAGTCTGCACCTGACTATTCCAATGCGTATGTACTGCTCCTGTATCAGACGATTCGCGTTTCCCTTATCTAGCATTATGGTGATCGCTTGCGTGTTCCCTGAGTTAGGCCTGAATTTCCCTAGGCTGTAGGTACTGCTCTTCTTCCATCTTTCCGAGTACGTCTTCTATGGCTGTCATCACCTCCTCTGTAGTTGTGGATATGTCTATCCCTCTTATATGGACTCATTCCGCCGGTTTGCGGTCTACTATTCCGCTCTTTCTTATATTTGTCTCCTGGTTCGATCCCCTCATTCTCTGTTCCAGTTTCTTGATTGCTTCCTCGTTTTTTTCGGTAGTAATTATTAGTTTTCCTTGTTTGGTCTGCCTTATCGATTTAATGATTTTGCTTTCCTCTGTGCTTCTTACATTCTTCTTGACATCTTCCAGGATTTGTTTGTAGTCTCTTTCTTTCTGGTCTACTATCAGGGCGTATGTCTCGTATGTCTTTTTTTCACTCGGCCTTGATTCGCTTAGGTAGCTTTTCGTTGTGTATAAAGCAACGTTCGTGTCTGATTCTTGGAATACCATTTCCACCATTTTCCGCATCTTGTCTAGGCTTAAGCGCTTGATGTGATGTAAGGCCACCCATTCTCTTGCCTAGTTTCCTCTCGGAGTCTTTCCAGCATTTTCCATAGGTTGCTGTCACTATCGTCTTGCATTATTTTAACTATCTTTTGTCCTCTTGCGGGCTCCGAGCATCCTCTTATTCGTGTGGTCTGTTCCAAGATGCCAAAGTTGTCGGTGATATCCTGGATCTCCGGGTATCTTTTCTCGTAGAGGGCCTGTATGCTTTCCTGCATGCCCTGATCTGTTGGCGTTGGCTCTACCAATACGACCTTCACTACTTCTGTTTTGGTTTCTAGTGGGTTTCCAGCTTTTATCTCCGTTTTTTTAAAGGCCTCTTCTGCCCATTTGAGTTTCTCAAGTTTTACATATTTATCAAATGTCTGCGCGCCGTTGAGTGTATCTACTATCTGCTCGGGTGCAGCAGGAGTTCTTCGTTCTTGGGTGTCAGGATCCTTGGTGGCTTTCTCCAGTTTTTCATACTTGAACTTCTCCATCCATTTTTTAGTGTTTATCCCGTTTATAATCCTTATCCGTTTCTCGAGTTCTAGGGCTATGGTTTTAATTTCTTTCTTCGTGTTCTGGTTCTGCTCAATGGTTTTTTTTAGATCTTCGCTTAGGCGTGTGATTTCCTCCATTTGTTCTTTCATTATTGAGTACTCTAGCCTTTCCTTTTTTTTATGGGCTCCTCCCGTCGTAGGAGATTTTTCTCGCTTCCTCTTTCCTACCGTGTTGTCTTCACCTGTGAGGTCTACTAATAATGAGCCTGTCTCTTCCGGCCCTGGTACCGAGAGTGTACGTCCTCTCGGGGGGGTCCGTGGGATTCGTGGCTTCTACGCGCAACTAACCCAAACGCAGTCGCTCGTTCCAGTAGTGGTCGCCGGCGCCCCGACCTGGTTCCCTGCCAGGGGCGCTGTACAGTAGTTGGCTGACGGTCGGGTCTGGCCTGCACCTCCACCAGTTTCCCCGACCGGTACTGGGGTATCCCTCCCCTGCACCGTAAACTCGTTATTCTTTCCGTGGCCAGACATCATTGTTTTTTTCTTTTTTTGGTTTTTCGGGTTTCCTTCCCGATATAGAGAGGGATAGTTTTGAAAAGAAAGCTCCCTAGCCCTCGAGTGCTCTAATAGCGTCGGGAGCGGAAGAAAGAAGAGTTGATCAAGAGAGATCGGATAGGAAAGAAGAAAGAGAGGGATCTGACCCAAGACTAGTTGAAGAAGAGTCAGAGTCCAGCTACGGTGCCTCGGGAGCGCCAGCTCCCATACTCACAAGATGTGAGCCCCTAAGGTTGATCTATCCTTAGCAACGGCTGACCAGTCAAATTCACGGCCAGTCGCTGTGCCCCTCCACCAACATCAAGGTCTCACAGCTCCTAGCTATCCCAGACATGTTCGATGGGCGATAAGTCTGGTGACATTACGGGCCATGGAAGTAGGGTTACATTAGCTTGTTGGAGGAAGTTTCTAGTAATTGCAGCGGTAAGTGGTCCCGCATTGGCTTGTTGAAAACTTGGATCTTGCAGTTACTGAAGGTATGGCAACTTAGAAGGGTCCGTCGCAGACGTGGAGAAAGGCGCCAACTTCAATTTTCCATGGAGCGTGAGACTGCGCTCACTATGGGCGTTATGGCTTGGGGTGCCATAACAGTTGGAAGCGAGTCACATTTTTTTTTTGATAGAAACATGAACTCTCAATCCTACATCAATAACGTATCACAATCTGTCGCGTTGCCCTACCTTCAGCCACTGCAAGATTCAATTTTTCAACAAGACAATGCAAGATTCTGTGACCGCTGCAGTTTCTAGAAATTTCCTTCAACAAACTAATGTATCCCTTCTTCCATGGCCCGCAAGGTCAATAGACTTATCGCCTATTGAGCATATCTGGGATGTGATAGGTAGAAAACTGAAGCAATTGTCACATCTTCTACTGAATATACAACCTCTACGTCATGAGGTAAGATTAGTCTGGTAGAACCTAGCACAGGGAGCTATCGATCATCTGATTCGCAGCCTGCCACGAAGAGTGACAGAATGTCAAAACACAAAACATGTCAAAACTTACGTGGGGGCACAACCATAGTAAAGTGATTTATAAATTCTTAAATAGAACATTCACTGGATTCATCCCCTCCACTTTTTGTTTTAGTTCGTGACTACACCGCTGTGCGCCCATATCGCCGTTTCTTAACGTCCCCCTCGTTTCTTTTCTAATCTCTGACTTCACCGATGAGTTAGCTATCTTTGTTTAGTGAATAGAAAAGACAATGACCGACATAGAATCGTATATATAAAAGCCAGTCATAAAAACGCAGGTGTCCATTTAACATCATAATGCAAGCAAATGTCATCTTGTCATCTGAATTAATTTGTTGAGTGCATCGTCGTTAATTATTTTGAATTCCAAGACTGTGAAAGAAGTGATAAGTGCATCATCATAAGCAGCCGGTTTAAGAGTTGTTGCCACAATGTGTGACCAGGCGACAAAAAAATAAATGGGCCAAAAGCGAATTGTAGCCACAGACCAGGGAAATTTACATCAAAAACAACACAGAAACAGAAATTTTGGTTTTGTTGGAGATAAACAACCTAGAAATCGTGTCACTATATGATGCTCCATACATGCTCGAGGAAATTATAAATAACTTGATCAAATATGACAGCCATTTAACTGGAAAAATGGACATTTTCAAAAAGCAGATTGGAAAGTGCTTCAGTCAGTTCATGAGTCAGATACGCCAGATCATCTATGAATAGATTATAGATTATTTTATTCATTAAGTGATTCTCACATAAATATATGAAAATAAAATGTATAAAATTTTAGTTTTGAAGCACTGGCTTATTTTGAAATAATTGAAATGTCAAACCATTAATTTAAAACCGAGATTCAAACGGCCCGCCAAATATTAGTTCAATGACTACACCGCTATGGCAGCACCGTCGTAAATGTCACTTGGCGACTACAATGGAAGTGAGCGTTCTATATCAGAATATAAATAACTTTTCTATGGGCACAACTGACTATTGAATTGTTAAGAATTCCTTTCAATAATTTGTTTTGAAAATGTCATTAAAATATATTTACAATTACTGGGTGTTGCAATTTCTATGTCACACAGTATAATTATTATTATTTTCGTAGATGCCATCTAAAATACGGCGGTGACAGCGTCCGTCGATATTCTGATACTGATGAATATTCAGGAGCGATGGCGGTGATGATCTGCAAGACTTTGCATGCTCTGTGCCAGAATGTAGTAAAGCGTTTCACAGGTCTAGATTAAAATTCGTTGCATCAGACATCCTTCGGGCAATATCTTTCTTACGTTCGCTGTCCAAATGACAACCCATCAACAGG